TATTGAGATCAAACTATACTTGGGTTGGGAAATCAATTGAAATGAAATGCCAAATGGAAAACAGGAACTTGGCATGTTCTAAGATTATACAATTAGTATCAAAATACTAGTTGGGGAATTAATATAAATAAATGGTGAAACAAATCCTAAGAGGTAGGATTGTGAATAGATATGCCTTAAGTAGTCTCAAGAGAAACTTAAGGTTGAATTGTATGAACACTAAGGTGTGATAGGGGTAGGCCTAGAGCCCCCTACGGGAATTGATTCTAGGCATATGATTTGCTTGAGAATTTGATTATGAAGATAATTAGAGTTGGACTCTATGATGACATGGAAATGTAGTTGGGCCGAGCCCATGCCATGTAATATGATTAGCATGGAAACGTAGTTGGGCCGAGCCTTTGCCATGTATATGTGATCTCCGTGGAAACGTAGTTGGGCCGAGCCCTTGCCACGAAGTTATGGTTGGTATGGAAACGTAGTTGGGCCGAGCCCTTGCCATACCAATTTTGATATGTTATATCGAGTTAGAGGATTGTATAGAAATGTAGTTGGACCGAGCCCATGCTATACAATTGGGGCTCGATGGGACCCCACGGGGTTATCGTGACTCGGGGTCACGGGGGAATGGAAACGATGGATTCTAAATGCACATGGGCCTACGGGCCGACTACTTGACTTTATATAAAGTAAGTACAGTTAAAAGAAAAAGGGGTAACCGAGGGTTATGGCCTATGACAAAATAGTACCCTAAGTTGAGGGTCTAGGGAATTAAAACGTTGATTATACTTAGTATAGTTGCTATTGTACTTGTCAAATTTTTCCAAGTACTGACCTCCCCTTCACGGGGGAGGCCACCTCACAGTTTCAGGTAGGACTTGAAGGTTGCTGCCGGTGCCCGTTGCTCGGGATATTCAGAGGAGAAGACGTGGTTCGTGCTTCTTCTGTTTTCTGATTTCAAAACAATTATAACAATGCTCATGGATATTATTTTGAATAACTATTTGGGGGCTTGCATGCCCATGGTTGCCAAAGTGTGGCTAAGACACTTTTATTAAATGCTTCCGCTGTTTTAAATGAATGATTTACATTATGTTTGTTTATGGATGTACTATGTGTGAATGATATTCATGACGCCTGGTATAGTATGGATGAGCTGGACTGCGGTTGGCTATTCGTACTGTACGGCGGGTTGTTGACGTGCCCGGCTAGGTCCGGGGCGTGACAATAAATGTATGTTCTTATGTTTGATTTGTGTGGATTGTTTACCATTTTATTTAGTTTGTAAACATTTGTGTGATTTTAGTTGTAATTATATTTTAGTCTTCATTTGTAAGTTGTAAAGTATAGTTAGAATTTGTGGTGTTGGAAAGGAAGACTTTGAAGTGAAGAAAAAGAAGATTTGACTGCCCAGGAGCAAATACCCGACCAGGTATAACCCTTCACCCGGTCGGGTAAGAAGTGAAAACCGAACATGCATGGAAATTGCATGGCCCGGCCGGGCCCACTACCTCACCCGGTCGGGTGAGACTTGACCAGAGACAATTGGACGTGCCGAAGAACACGCTAACATGTGAAATATTTGATTTTGACCGGTACCCAGTCGGGTGGGCACCACACCCGGTCGGGTACCCGGCCAAGGGTTTTGAAAAACACATATAAATAGCACATTTTTCCTTCACTAAAAATCATTCCTTCTTCCATACTCTTAAGCTCAGTTTAGATTAGCATTTTTTTATATTTTTCTAGCTATGTTTAGTCTCCAAATGAGAGGCTAAACGTCCATTTCTTGCTTTTGCCCTTGAAACTTGTTGATTATAAAAGTTGTGAGTTATTTTCTTAACTTCTCTCCTTGAATATTAATTCTTCCCTTAATTTATTTCTATATTGATGTTGGGGAGTGTTGCTAAGATGACAATTAGTCAACAGCTCAATATTAATTATTGCTAGAAACGATCAACGAACCGATGGTTAATCGTTGATGATTTCGCAAGTAAGTAACTTCGGTTTATTAATGCACGGTCGTGGTTAATAAACTTAAGAGGATTAATTTTGTTGGTTAAACCGAAACCGTTGTTTTGAGGTTATCAATCTCAATTGATTTAATCAAGGAGTTAGAAAGATTAATGCTACTATTACATCAGTATAAGGCGTTGTTCTATATTTGATTAATAGTAAGGGTTATTAATGAATGGTCGTTGTTAATAACTACCATCGATGAATTGGATATACTCCTTGATTGAGTACTCAAGAGGGGATAAGTTATAGATATAACAAGGATCGACTAAATATATCAACAAGTGGAAAGTAGCAAAGCCAAGTTCTTTTTATCTTTGAATTAAATCACATATAAGTCGTTCAACTTAGTGTTTAATTAAATTAAATCACTCAATCCCAAAATCCCCCTTTTATTTACTAGTTTATAAAAAGAGAAGTATTCTTTTCCCTGTGGATACGAACTCTACTACGTTATACTACGTATAAGTTTTAGTATTGAATTTATTTTGACGCACTACGACAAAGTGCTCGTCGGCTATTTAACCACAGAACTCTGCAGTTAAGCGAGCTCGGGGTAAGAAAGCCCAAGGATGGGTGATCTACTAGGAAGTTAGTCGAATCCGAAAAGGGGTGTATCGATCTAACAAGCTTGTCGAATCCGAAGAGGGGTGTATCGATCCAACGAGGTGGTAATCCAACAATTACCACCTCGTTGTGCATTGTCAAACTGAGCAAATTGAACTGATTTTTTTTTTTAATAAACTTGAATGTAAACCATCTAAAATGATAAACTTGAATTTATGAATATAAACCATCCACGGGAAACATAAAGAAACAATATAAAACAAAATTTTCTGAGATATCAACAAAAGGAAACAAAAAGAAACAATATGAAACAAAAATAATCAATAAATTTATACTCGTATCATTTTTTTACTAGACAACAAAATTCTACCATAATTATTTTTAAAATTTGTAACCATTTTAAAATTTTGAATTACAAGATTTACATTTTAAAATTTTGTAACTATTTAATTTTTTTAGTATTTATTTTACAAACTTTAATTTTTGAATTTTATATATTTCATGTCTGTTAGTTCAATTAAATTATCTTGTTTTTTTATTTTTTAAAGGATTCTCAATTTAAATTTTATTTTACAGCATTTTATTTTTTTTAACTTTTATAAATTTGTATGCTTATTTATGAAATAATTACATAAATATGATCACAATAAAGATGATTTACAAAAATATGACTAATGACTAGAGTAGTAATGAAATCATAGTAATTCATGTTCAAATTTTGAGCTTAAGTTACCACAACACCACATTGTAGTAATGAATAGTCATATTTATGTAAATATGTTTTATTTTAATAATATTCTTGTAAACAACTCCTTATTTATTGGATTTAGAAATTTTTACTTTGTACATATTTCGATTTCTAAATTCTAAATTAATAATTTAAAATTTATTAGTTTATTATTATTTTTCAAATTCTAAGTTATTTAGAATTTAACTTAGTGATTTAACTTAGAAGTTTCAAATAACTTATAAGAATAATACTTTAGTAATATTGTTGTAAACAACTATTTAATAATTTATTATTAATTTTCAAATTCTAAATTATTTAGAATTTAACTTTATATTTTTATTTTTGAGAAAGTGTTTGTACTATTTTTTATTATTTCTTTACTTATATATTATGCTTTTTTTTTTAATTATTCTTTACAAAACTTCATTAGTTTTTTATTGTTTTAGTATAATTTATTAAAATTTAGTTGGTATAAAACTTATCTCCATGATCATAAATAGTTAAATAACATGAGTCTTGGTTTTCCATTTGAAAGAATAAAAAAATACAGAGTATATAGAATTTGAAATAAAAAAGAAAATGAAAGTAAATATCCAATAAATAAAAAATAAAATATTAAAATAAAACAAAAAGCAACACAAATTAACATTATACACCAAAAATAAAAATATAATGATACTAAAAATAATTATTTTTAAATGTTTTTAAGAACATTAAATTACACAAAAGTTAAGTTTGTACTTTAAAACATTTTGTCAAATTCTTAGTTAATTTAAAAGTTTTGATAATTTCTTTTCTGAGACTTGATTTTATTTTATTTTTTTCTACACTTTTTTTTACTTTTTGTATTTATATTTTTATTTTTTATTAAAGTTTTTATTTTTAATTTACATTTTTATAATTTCTATTTATATAATTTATATTAACTATCTAAAACTTACATTACATGATTTATTCTTTAAATTTATTGATTTTTGAGCTTTTACTTTTAAAGTCTATACATTTTTAGGATTTCACGGTTTATTCTTTAAATTTAGTTTTAATTAATTTAATTTGAAAGTTTTCTAATCTCATTATTATGCATTTTGTGATATTTTTTTACGTTGAGTTTTTTCTTTATTTTTAAATTTTAATTTTTTCCTTAATTAATTTCATTTTTTGACTTTTTAATAAATTTTAGATTTTTTCTATTTAAAAATACAAAATTTAGTCCACTCAAAATAGTGCAATTAAGTTACTCCTTGAATTTGTGCGGAGTATTAGTTTATTGCGAGTAACTAACTTGGGAAGTTCGGGAGATTGATCTGTAATCCCACTGCTTCTAAGCAAAGGCTAGACATTTCGTTGAGGGTTTAAGCAGCAGTGAGCTATTTATGAAAAGAAAACTTAGAGTAGTCTATTTTTGAAAACTAAATTAAAACATAAAAAATGATATTATTTTCAGTTTTAAGCTTATTTGTGAAAAATTCCCTTAAAAAACATTTTTTATCTTTTAACTTTAAAAGGCTACAATTAAATTTTTCAAATATATAATTCTACTTAACCTAAGTACTTCTATTTATATATATAAAAAAAGCAAATACCTCTGCCAAATACCATTTTGCCCCTCCATATGCATATGTGTTGCTCATTCCAGTTTTCTCTCCTTTCTGATGCCACGTGGCTTTCTAATTTTTTAAGTTGATGTGCTCACGGTTCATGAAGGCCCTGATTCATTTCCATCTCCCAAAAAAATAACGCTTCCAGTTTCCATCTTTATCTTCTTTCTGCGCAAGATTTTAACGCCCTGTGATTTCAACGCTACAAGCGATGTTAACGCCCTGCGATTTCATGATCATCTTCTCCGCACTCAGCAATTTTCCAGACTTTACGTTCCTCACATCTCCCCCAGTGACACAACTTCATACAACTGTTTACTTGCGAAAAATCCACCAAATTTAACCCTATTTAGGATTCTTCATCTCTCTTCTTCGTATGAGAGATTACCGCACCCAGTTCTTCACCGAATTTTGGGTTCATACAACTATATATACAGATGCACATCGACATTAGGGTTCATACTCTCGCTGCACGAGTAGCCGGGGTACTTTCTAATTCTTCATGTCTCTATATTTCTCGGTTCTCTCGCTGACATTAGAGCTTGTGTTGAGCATTCATACTCCAGTTACCATTACATTTTACATTAACCTCACGTTGATTTTCCTCTACTGTATTTGTACACATTTTGTCTCTGCTTATCATGCTAATGAGTATTATCATACATTGGTTTCAGAATATTTTAAACAAACAGAGCATACCTCTGCTCTACCATATTAATCACACACAGGAGATTCGTAATGGTTATTGCGCTTCTATTATGTTTGATGAAATGCCTACATGGATGTATGCATGTAAATCGCTATGGTGCAGTAACTATTAAAAGTCCCATTACATTTGCCAAAATGATTAAGAAAGCATAAGATATAAAACCAAAGATCGATTAAAATGAAGAAATACATTAGTCAGGGCACATATCAATTCTATTTTAGTACAACCATTTACAAAAATAAAAAAATTGCAATGAGATAAAATTAATGATGTTTCTCATAAATTAGTTTTTAAATACATTAATGAATAACTATATGCTCGCAAATAAAGTTCTTTTACAGATCCTTTAACCCAAATGTGTTTCTGTTTTAACCCATTCATTGTGGCTTTAAGCTCTTTGCAATTTTATGACTTAAAATATCCCTGGAAAATAAATTCCCACATTTCCAATAGGCTTTCCCAGTTTAGATTATGTATTAATCTGAAGTGTTTAGTATTCCTCAGATTATATATTGTTTACATACCCTTTGCTTAGCATTATGACATGAAAAACCAACAACATCGAAGACATCACTGACCAAAAAGAAACCTGGAAAAATCGTTGTGAAATGATATGATGGACTCTAAGGTATGACTATCATAGTAACTACATTATGTTCTCTGTAGAAGTTTCTAACCTATCTCTATTCTCCAATACTTCTTGGAATTCACATTATTTAGAGGGTCATAAGACACTGGACAATGGTAATACGGCAGCTGAAGTTAAAAGAATGTGTCAGCTATATTATGCACAATTTTTTAGTTTCACCCAATGAGGGGTATATAGGGGTTTGGTTCCTTTTGCGCTCATGCCTACAAGTTGCAATTCACAAGTGGGACAACTTTTAAAGAACTGGCTTTGGTTCCTTTTTGTGGATTTGAGTTTAAAAAGTTCCAAAGTATACTCAGTGGAAACTGGAAATGTTCGTAAAGATGTCTTAATAGGTCGGAAGTTTTGATTAAAACACTCCACTTTTGATTCAACTACATAATAAAAAAATTGAAACAAAGTTTGTTATTTATTTGTATAGATGTCATTGGTGCTTTCTATAAATTGGTACATCGTTAGTCCATCCCGAATCTAAAGAAGGTTGTCCTTACTTTGAATGGTCTTAGTTAATATGAATTAAATCATTGGATAAAGAATTCGTACATACACATTCAAATTCCTATTAAAGTTGACTCTAAATAGTCATTTCACATTGTAATGTATGTTGTGTTTTGTTTCCATTTTGAATATGTTATGTTTTAGAGCATAACAAATTTGCCATTGTTAGATGATGCATGCTTTATGGTTTTGCAAATCTCATTATCATCTAGCATAAATGAGAAGTACAATTCTTCATCTGCCTTTTCATTTCATATAATGATATGAATATATTTGTTATATTTTTTCAGGGTATGTAATGTTTCATTGCCATTCTACCTACAGTGTTGATGCCTTAATTGAAATTTTGCATTCCTATACACCACCTGTGGGAAGCCTGGGCTCTCCTCTTCAGTCGCACACTTGCACTTTCTTCTATTCATATGAATGATTTTTCTCTTCTTCCACCGCACAACAACGTCATCGCAGAAATAACTCTTGTTGCACCTTTGAGTAGTTCATCTTGCATCGATCATCAACGCTATGTATCGGGTACTCCTCTCTATTTAGTTTATACAATTTCAGATTCGATTCCCTTCTAGGTTTTCTTTCATTTAAAACTGAGTGTTAGCTACTTATTTTATTCATCTGATATCTTATTTCCATTCTAGCTCATTTTTCTTTGTATATTTAGTTTCATTTTCTGCTGAAATTGATGTTATTATTTTTTCTATCCCATTCTGGCTGGAAGTATTCTATATATCTTGCTGAATGCCAAGAAGAACTAAAGTTCTGAGTTTGTCATGCTTGAGTAAGGCACTGCATTGCCTGAGTCGCCAAATTACTGTTGATCACTCTCTTATTGCAGGGACTGTGTACGAATTTCAATATACTGAATCAGAGGTAGTTTCGTAATTCAATTCTCTATTTTTAGTACATGTATACTTCTGCCATGTCTACCGGCGTATAGTAGTCTTTTGGTGAAGTATATATTGGTGCACAATAAAAAATGTTACAACTGCATATACTACTAATAGATTTATGCTACGTTGTTTTTTTCTGCAGGTCTACTGTAGTGTCTATGCATATAAACTCCATTTCACTTATACTGCTTTTCTTCCCTTCCAATTGTGATCACAATTTGTGTTGGTGTAGTGACCAACTGTGGTACTTTGTGATCCAGTTCAGTAAGAGGTGTAGGCTAATGTTTATCTCAGGTCTAAGACTTATAAAAATTTAGCTAAATGTATTTGGATCTCCAAATTTATTTTAGCAAAATATATTTCAGCACTTTTAGATCTCAAGAAAATCAACTATGATTAGCTACATATATTTCAGCATAACACTTTTACTCAAAGAGCTAATTGGAGTTTATTATCGACTTTTTCCAGAGTTTTGTCTCTTCTAATGCACCAAGAAGCTTCCACTTCATCTGAGACTAGTTTTCTCTCTGACCTTACCTCAGTGTCATCTGGAGTGGCTTCTACAATATACACATCCAGCAGTCCCTCAACGTACCTGTTACTGCGGAAGAAAAGTTTTGTGGGATGAGCGAGTAGCTAAAATAGTTCTGTACAGTAACTTCGGTAAAATTCAATTATAAAAGTAACTTAAACGAGATTACTTATTATGATTATTACACAATTCCGCACGCGAAATCAAAAGATACTAAATAGACTCTAAGTTTAATATTTCATTTTATGTTATCGCCAATGCTAATTAATAAGTAGCAAATTTTAAAGAATAGTGTCAATTAATCTTGGTAATATTCTCTTACTTTTAATATTCATTCTTTGGACTTATACTTTATGGTATTATATAATTGTTCTCCGATTTTTCAAAAGTGTAAAATTCTAAAAATTAATTTCATTATCATATTTAATTAGACCATCAATAAAAATACATGCACCAACTGATCTATCACGTGCGTATACGCACGGATACAATACTAGTTAAAACAAAAAATTGGAAGTTGATAAGGTAGGTCCTTTTAATTGCTTTTCTGTTTTGTTTTTGTAAATAACTCACGCTTTAAGGATAGTAATAATTGTTTTTCAATTTTGTTTTTGTTCATGAAAAGTTTTTTGCGCATTGAATAATTATAACACATGGGGGTTGCCGCATTTTTTAAATTACAGAGGCTAATGCACCGAATTCATATTTCACTGGAGGATTTGATGTATTAAACCCGTCCCCACTTATCTCAATACAAAAATTGAACTAAATGACAGTAGTGTACGGAAATCTTGAAATAGATGAGGAGAGTACACATTAACTATTGTCACAGGTTTCTTTTTTTCGTTAATCCAGTGTCGGTGCTTGCCGAGTTGTGCTCCCCTAATCCTGAAGTCTATGAACTACCCTCCAAAACCTCTAGACAGTTAAATCCGAATCTGATCACAATCAACCTCGTAAGTACCGACTTCAAAGGACGAATCCAGCAGGACTTACATCACCCTTTAGGATGCTCCTCCCACCACACGAACCCGCTACCTTTATTACCATCCTCTCCTTTCTCAGCCGCTGAGCAACTCCGTGAAGGTATGAAGAATCATTGGGAGAAAGACCCCCCTCCTCTCCCCTAAATGTGCCTAGCGGGATTCGAACCTGAGACCTCCACTAGGACACGGTAACCTCCCACTCAGTGAGCTGGAATGGTTGGTTTTGTCACTGGTTTCTTTTTACATTATGAATTGTTTTAAAGCAATATTCCATCAGTTCTCTAATAAAAGTCTTTTCAGGTTTTTCATGGTTTTTAAGAAGAAAATAGTAAAAGTAATATAAAGGGTGAATGGTAAATAAAAAAGTAAGAAAGAGAGTATATTGAGAAAGAAAAAGTAATTAAAAAGTAGAAAAGAAAAGGAACTTGTAAAAAATAAAAAGGTAATGATCATAAAAATGAGGATATAAATGTATTTTGAGAGGAAAAACTTACTAAAATGGGAAAGAGAGACGAGTAATAAAAAACATCCCAAAAAAGAAAGCAAAACAATTATTAGAGAATGGAGGGGGTTAATGTAATCCTTTTTCGTATGTAAACTTCCATTTTGCCCATTTAAACCAATGCAATGTTTGGTCTCTTTGGTGACCTTTTTGCAGAACAAAATTTAGGATACAACATCGTAAAAAACAAGGAAAAAGGGATGAACTTACATTACAAAAATTTAATTTTTAAATGTGCTGCTTGTAACATCACACCTCAGACTATGCAAGCCAAATGGCAAGTATAATTTACTCAGAGTTTGATACATAGGTATCCAAACAATCATCCAAGTTAGATGCCGATATCCGGCCCATTTAGCAGCAAGCTGAGCACCTATCACTCACGCAGCAAAAATCAGAGTAATCGGGACCCTCATTGCCATAGATGACCCTCACCTTCCTTCTGATCCATGGGCCTCCTCGAGTGTTGAACAATGGCCAAAGTGAGATATGAGACCATCACCACTGCTTGAACCCATGGCTCTCCAACTGCAGCAAGCACAGCTGCAACCGGCAATGTTGAAGACACACAATCTCGCTTCTTTACCCACCGGCCAAAGCTAAACAAACCAATCAGAAGTGTCCAAAAGAGAGGCTCGGAAATGTAACCTCTCACAGCAAGAAACCCGATAATGCCAGAGACTGTCAGAAGATAGGGTTGGCTGTTTACAGAATAGGGAACAACAGACTTGGCCATGAAGACTACAAAAGATGCCAAAATGATCATTTTTGTTAGTTCTTGAATAGGAGCTTGGTTGATTACTAGTGAGTAGAGAGCTTGGATGTTGTGCAGCGTTGTCTCGACAAAACTAACGGAGGCAACCAATGGATACGTCAATAAGTGGAGAATGCTAGCGAATGCAATCCTCAAAATGAATCCGATGGAGATGAACACAGGTTCCAAGACATATGCTACTGGCTTTATCCAATTAGACAGCTCCCACAAGACGGTCCTCCAGGCATAGAGAAGGAATGCCAGCACTGCACATTATTGACAGCAATCAGGAGATATGTTATTGTGCTTATATGGATCTAATATCTGAAAATTAAGGTGTTCCATGAACTATATAATGTATTAATATTTAACCCATGACAAAAAAATGAAATTGGTTCAGGAAGATGACTGCCTCTTAAAATCAGGAAGTCAATTTCCACAAAGTTGCAGAGAAAATACAAAATAATTTCATTTCAAGAAAGGAAAAGTTGCTTAAATATTACTGAGTAACTATCCATTGCACAAAAATGCTACTACCTTTGTCCCAAAATGAAAGCAATAGTATACTATTTACTAGCCACCGCAAGTCAATTTTGATCTGTAATTTATAGTTCATATTTTTATCATATATAAATCAATCTTTACTATTTAATAGAACTTTTAATGTAGTTTCAAAATATGTAATTATTATTTTTAATTCTAAATTTCTAAATAGAGTACTGTCAGGGAATAGCTTACTTTATCAACTTTCAAACCTCAAAATCCGCAATGACACTTTCATCTACGGAAAGAAGTAGTTTTTTTTTATTATTTCAGGAAAGAAATGTTTGCAACACATCTTCCAATGACAAATTATAAATGCAGGCAAATGGACTTGTAACAGTTGGTATTAGTTGTATCCTAAAATAAAATGTTATCATTTTTGTCCAATGGGACTATTCAATTTGTAATGTTTAAGAATTTTAAGGAGAACACTCTTTCTGCCAAAAAATCTGACCCCAAACACATGAAAATTCACCAAACATCTGTAAAACTAACACAAGCATAAATGATACGTAATGAACTCAATTTCCCATCAAAGTGATCCAACAATGGAGACATGTACATCTTGTCACCAAATAAGTCACTTACAAATAGATCAATCCCATATAATTGTTTATAATGTTAATATAACTATCACATTTCCTCAACAATAGTTTCTGATATACTCCAAAACAAAGAAAAAAACAAGACCCTTAAAAGATAAATACCTAGGGCTTATTACCGGAAGGTATGTCAAAAATCCTTCTAAAGTTAGCACCTTTGGAAACAAAAGTTAAACCAATGCAGGCCTAACGACTCTATATGTAACTACAGTACTTTTGCGAACAGTGCATTACTGCACTAAAACATGATACTTGAACAAAATATCCACTAAGTTTTTCATTTTGCTAATTGCCAGTGCCTAGTGTAGCCAGAACCAATAGAGAAATAGACTAGATTCATGTTTCTTAATGACCCAATTCAGTGACATCACAATCATGTACTTCATACAATTTTTTTATTTTCTCTCAGTTTTCTCTCTCTCAGTAATACTACGTATATGCCAACCATACAATAGTACTTTTGTTTACTTCTGGTAGCTCAGAATCACTGGCTAATACATAGTTTGGTGCGACTAAAACCCACTCAAGAACAGGGGAATAAATAATTGCACTTATAATATAACCCACTAAAGAATTAGGACAAATACCCAACACAAAAATAAATTTTGGTCAACTCTCATCTCAGAAAATGAACATTCAGACCATATAGGGTCAAGGCGTACAAAGGGTAGTAGTTTTAATCACCATACTCGTAGACGCACCAAAAGGAAAAAGAAAGTCCAAACAAATGATTTTCTTAGGTTTTGCACCACACTTTTCTTTCAAATTTGGGTTTGCGCAACATTTTTCAATCACTAAAATGTGCACCTATTGTCATTGCGAAAATTAGAGTTTGTTAACATCTTTTGAGATTGCATCTAGAAGATTGTCCAAAATTGGAGTATGTGCCCAATTTTTCTTCCAAACTCAGTTTGCACCCTATATTTAAACCCATTCCACATCTTTTTTTCTGGTAGCAGGTGAAAATATTAATGGTTTGAAGAACCAGCTCCAATTTCTAAGACAAAATGCCTTGCAACCTCTTATATTGCCTTCAAGTTTCATCACTTCACCACGAGGACAAGCCCAGTCCACTATAAAATGTCAAAATACTGGAACACTAAATAGCTAATATCTTCACATCATCTTCATTAAACAAATGCATAACCACATTTCCGGATTAACACCAAATTCAAAGCAAACTAGCAAAACAAGCGTTTTTAGTAAAAATACTAAATCGGAATATATATATATGATATACACAAATTCAATTACCTATAAACAAAGGCCACCTCAATGGCTTTTCGGGAGCTTCTTTCATCAAGTACCTGAACCTCTCTGGCATAGAGCTCTCTCCCCGCGACTCCATTTCACCTTCATCCACATCTTTCTCCGTCCCACCAGCACCAGTTTCTGCTTTGGTCCAAAATCCATTATTCCTTTTCTCTGAATATACAAGATCCTTTAAGAGGATGCCGTGAAATTTGTTACCTTCTCTTAATCTCAACGTGCTAGTTCCAGGTTCTGAAAAGCCAAACGAGGCTTTTGAATTGACATGTATCCGATTGACAAGGGAGAAGTGTGAGGAGAGCTGCACTGTTTGTTTGTGAAATATATTCGGAGAACGGAGTGCTGAGATTCCAATCGACATGGCGTGGGATAAAGCGAAGGTCCTATGAATGCAACTATTCAAGGACAAGGGTTTTGGGAAAGAGTTTTTACCATACACATTTTTTATTTACTAGTCTGGTCTGGTCTGATCTTTTTTGGTGTGATTTGGTCTGTTTTGTTCTGGTCTGGTCTGAAATTTTGTTTTTTATATTTTTGCGTAAAGATTTTATTTTATTTATATATTATAATCCATAAATAATTATATTTTATTCATTTATAATTAAAAATAATAATATTCCTTCCAAATTATTGAAAATTGTTATCGTTTTAATTGGATTGATTTTTATCCCAGACCGAAGCAGATCATACAAATACAGAACAATAATAAAATAGTACAAATATTAATAATAACAACAATAACAAATACTACTACTACTACTAATAATAATAATAGTAGTAGTAGTGGTAATAATAATAATAATAGTAATAATAGCAATAGTGATGATAATAATAATAATAATAATAATAATAATAATAATAATAACAACAATATCAATAACAACAACAACAACAACAACAACAATAATAATAAAATATGGTATGGTATGGTATGGTATGGTATGGTATGGTATGGTATGGCCTGATCTGTTTTAGTCTGGTCTATTTTAGTCTGGTCTGATCTGGTCTTTTTTGGTCTGGTCTGGTCTGATCTGGGACGAATTATAGTCCAAGTAAAAACAACCTAAGAGACATTTTTTATATTTATCTTTGAAATGTTTCACTTTCTATCTTTGATTTTTCAAATTTCATGAAAGTGAAACCTTTTAGTCCTTTAAATGTTGTCATTTTTAAACATCAATTTATTATGACAAAATAACTGTAGGTTAACGGTTAGCAGATTTTGTTAGTGGGTAATAAATGGCAGATTGAAGCAGCGGATTTGACCACCAGATTGATTTGGCGAGATGGCGAGATGCACAAACATGTTTGGTAACATAGCTATTTAATTGTAGCGTATAGTACGTAAAAGGATAAAAAAGAACATTTTACAATTATAGCATATGTTTTTTAATATGAACTTAGGAATATACTAATTCATACGTACAATATATATGTGAGAATAATTTTAAATTAATTAAATAAAAATATAATGATAAAAATTCATCAATTAACTACACTAAAATTGAGAAACAATAAAGTGAGTCTAAAAATCTATCTATATACAAAAGCAAGTGAATTTTTGGCAACTTCCCGCTCAAAAGTGTCACATCAATATGGTCAAAGAACACTCAACCATATATCATTGACCATAGGTTAAAATGATATGGCCTTATTTTATGAATATTACTAAATAAAGTCTCAAAGACAAAAAAGTGATCATATAAACAAAATTTCAAAAATATGACTAGGAGATGCAATGACTAGCAATTTTAGTGACTAGAATTAGACCAATAGTGACCGCCCGTGCAGTGACTGTCGCCGACCCGATTAGTGATTGCCGCCGCCCCGTCCAGTGACTGCTGTTGCCGGTTCGTCAGTGACTGCCGCCGCCACAGTGACTCCGACCAAAAGTGACATCGGTCAAAGTGACTCCTGCCAAAAGTGACACCAGCCACAATGACAAGCCGTTTCCGGCCACAGTGACACGCGTCTCCGGTGTCGCAGCCCATCCCTCCCCTTTTCCTCACATCCTGCTTAGCCCGTCCCCGGCCACCCCGCCCTAGCATCGCCGCCAACCATCACTGCCAAACGCCGCCAAGGACCACCGCCCCGCCCCCGGCTTGAGTCCCCATCCCCAACCACCTATCCCCCAGCCACCTCCACAACCCCCTTCTGCCCCAACACAGCCACCGTTGTGCTACATCGGTCAGCCCCAACCCCACCAGTCCACCCAGCCCCGCCCCATGCCTACCATCCCCGCCCACTGCCTACAAACCCCACCCAGCCCTTGCCATGACAAACTAGACCTACTCCATCCGCCCACAACAACCGTCCCCTTCCTGACCAGCCCTCAGCAACCTGTCCCTTGCCCCACCAGCCCATAGCCCCACATCATTCTGTCGTAGACCCTGTCGAAACCCCCTGCACTGTCCTTGTCGAAAGTCACCACCACTCCACCAGCCCAGATTTGACGGAAAACCCTTGACCCCCCCTCACCTTAATATCAGGCCCAACTGTTGTAGCCACCAAAGTCGCCACCCATATCTGCTTAGGCGGCCCCAAATCGGCGAGGCGAAGTCGAGATCTGGAATCTTCAGCGATGCGGAAGTCTGGAACTTGTGCGGAAATGAAACTGGAAGTTACATAGGGATACATTTAATGGCTGGTCACTCTTGTGGTGTTGACGAGTCTTTCAGCGACAGCAGCGAATCGGCGGGAGCGGTGGCTCTCTCCTCAGCTCCGATTGCGCAGATCTCCAACGGCCAGGAAGACAGTGCTTCGCTCCTGGATGGGAATGGAGCGCAGAGTGTTTCGTGTAGGGATAGGCGCAAATGGGAAGCGGAGTCGTATATTTGGAATAATTAAAAAGAATTATATTTTTGTCCTTTAGAAGTCCAAGAATAATATCTATGTCATTTTTTCAAATGATATACCACTCTCTGCCCTACGGTGTGGGCCAATAGCCCATTAAGGTTATTCAATTGTCTATTCACAATTCAAATAGACAAACAAATGCGCAGGGCAACTTCAATTCGAATATGACCAGCAAACTTCTCCTGTCTCCAGAGCTAGGGCACGACCACAACATCTTTGAGGATGTTTCTATGTCGCGGAAAGAATCAAGAAAGGCTTTGGCTACCTAACGCCGGCTAGAACCCAGCATCGGTGGGACTGCTCGGATCACTGCGTATGGCAGTACGGGTCCAAAAGGAGGTTTGACTGTGTCGATGAAATCCAGTCTACAGCAAGAGGCTATTAACGCCGACTGGTCAGCGACACACGCTCCAAATGGTTTTATCCCAAAACCATATCTGAAGACTTCACCAAATGGAATCGACGACGTGAGCATGTAAGAATCCAATTACTTTCAGCATACACTTTCATTTCTCAATTTATGATTTTTCTCTTTTGCTTTCTTTATTTGGACTGAACATGTATTCGGGCGTAATCGCAAAAGAAATGTTAGAATTGTGTTGATTAATTTTTTTTGACATTCCACCGTTTTGATAAGTATTACTCCGTATATAGTTTAATTTTTTTCAATATATCTTACTCCGTGTATATAATATCTATCTCTAAAGACTATAATGTGATTGATATTTATGAAAAAATATATAAATAATAAAAACTACAAATTAACTACTTTAGGAGAAAAGTTTTAACCTTTTGGACGTTTAGGAAAAAATTATAAGGTCCAATGATAGTATTTCGTTTACATTTCAAGTAACAATAATTTTGGTTACATGAAGGAAAACTACTGCGAGGTAAGTTACTATTCCATATTTGGTTAATTCTTTTAGGCTTACCACATATCAATTGAGACTTTCCTTTTCTTCAGGTTAGATGCCTTCGACCAAAGAGGACCCACTTTAAGATCAACCAGATAATTTTAATGATCCATATTTTTATTGATTTTGTTTTAGTGTGAATTTCATTATTCTTTTACAATCTTAAATTTTTATTTAGTTTGATAGGGAATATACTTTTTAGTATCTTTTATTATTTAGTCTAATTATAAATTTAATTATTACTTAATAAAGAAAAGTAAATTGTTATTAGTTTCTTTCATAATTTTTGTTTAAATATTTTTGCAGATATTTCGTTATTAGTTTATTCCCGCTTCACTGTTTTTCAAATCTGAATATATTGATAATAATTTAAAATATAATATAGTGATATTGTGATTTTATGATTGGATGTATTTATGTTGGGATGTAGGTGTTTTAACAATTCAAGTTGTGTTAATATATTGAGTTTTCTCTAAGCCAACTCAGTTAAACACTGTTAATTTTTTCAAGAACTTGAAAGCCTGGCATGTGCTTTGTTAGGCCAATAGAAAGCAACTGATGTTTCCAACTTATTTGATTCCTCTTGCTAACCAAACAGTGTATGGTACATGATTTTTTTTTATTTAAATACGAGAAAGGAACATGAAGGTGGATGCTCTTAGGTTACACTTTGATTTTTTGAAGTGAAAATATAATTCAGCCCAACTACACATTTCTTAAAAAAGATATGCTACTTCATGATATAAAAGTGACATTATTTCTTTGTTCTCAATGAACATATCTTAGTTTGGCTACATGTGGGTGCTAAAAATTTATATTGCACAGACAATTGCATGTTGTATAATATGTCAATCGTTCCTGTGACTCTATGCTACCCCTTATTATTAGTGCAGTGAATATTATATGATAGAAAGCAGATAGAAACATATTGAAAAGGCTAGAAGCATAACATTCTAACTAAAACGGCTAAAATGTTAAATAACTATGGTTTTTTAAAGTTTCATTTTAGATACACCGTAGTTTGAACCGAAAAAGGACACCACTCCCCTCATCTCAACTTAATGTCTACCGAATAGGGAAATTCGAACTAATACAAATATAAAACACTACACCCATGCCATTACTATTACTCCAAGTACAAGTGCACTTTATGTTTAAATGCTTCCTTTTACACTCAATAGTAACATGCTATGCTTTGGGAGGTCATGTAGTTGTTCTGTATTGTTAATCTTTCAATTATTACACAAAACTATTCAATATATACTTATTACCATGACATTTCTTAGAGATTTCATCCCTTAAATTAACGTATTCATTGTAACTGTTACATCTTCACTGTCAAGGCTCAAAACATACTATTCATCGAGTTTTTCTATCTTCTTCAGGATTGATGGCTTTATTAGAATTGCAGTTGAGGATATCAGAAGCAAACTTACACAACTTTATAGGTAAATTTTGTGAAGAGGATGAAATTCTAGAAGCACAGGGAGATGACAAGCGCCAGGCCTGAATGACGATACACAAAACGTGGATCCCCACAAGCGCTGATCAGTGATACTTATAGGCAGAAATCCATCATAAAAGGCCATTACACAGAAAGTCTCAACCGCAACCGGGAGAGCTCAATATCGCCCAGCTGGGTGATGGCGCTTTATCCATGG